AAACCCACCCAGGGTTTGGAGGATAGGCTAGGTCTAGTGTTCTGCTTCTGAAAGCTTACAGCCTTAAAAGCCCTTTGAAGCAGTTCTACTCTACACATCTGAGGTCACCATGAATCATATTTGACAGCAACTTATAGTAGTCATACTAGATTAGGTTTGCTGTGAAATAAACCATTTGTGAATTTATGGAAGAATTTGAGTGCCACTCTGAGCTTTCTCCTTTAAACAGCTGAGTATCCATGGAGACAAGTACCTGAGCAAAAGAAATCAGTATGTAGGACAAGTTCCCTCATGTAGGGATAAAATCAGGAAAAAAAACTGAAAGCAGGTCACCAGTTAGAAAGTTACTGCTGTATTCAAAGCAGGAGGTAATACAGAACCAATAAAATCCTGTTATTAGAGAGTGTTAAGGAAGACGAAAGGAAGGAACAACTTTCCTAGGCTAATTCAGGAGGATTCGAATCAGAACCTGCTCAGAGGATTCAGAAAAAAAAAAAAAAAAAAATGGGATCAAGTGTGGAGAAAATAAGACATTTATTTTATCAAGGGTACAAAAGAACATGTTTTAACCTTTATTTCTGCTGCTTCCATGAGTACTGATTGTGGATCCAATCAAAATTAAATCCTTGACAACTTCAATTTTTTCTCCATTTATCATGATGTTATTTATTGGTCAGTTATGAGGATTTTTCTTTACATTGAATTGTAATGCATCCTGAAGTATTTTCAGTCGTCACTTGCGGCAAGCAAGGTTGTGTCATCCGCACATGGTAAATTGTTAATGAGCCTTCCTCCAATCCTGATGCTGCATTCTTCATTTAATCTAGTTTCTCAGATTATTTGTTCAGTATACAGATTGAATAAATATGGTGAAAGGATAAAATCCTGGAACGCACCTTTCCTGATTTTAAAACATTCCATATCCCCTTGTTCTGTTTGAACGACTGCCTGTTGGTCTGTGTGCAAGTTCCACATGAGCACAATTACGTGCTCTGAATTCCCATTCTTTTCAATGTTATCCATAATTTGTTAGGCTCCACACAGTCAAATGCCTTTACATTGTCAACAAGACACAAGTAAATATCTTCCCATAGAAGACCACTTTAAATATCTACCCAATATCCTCATCCCACTTTTTTGAAAGTCATTAAGTGCTGTCATGTGGGTTCTGACTCACAGCAACCCTGTAGGGTTTCTGAGGCTGTAAATCTGTGGGAACAGAAAGCCTTTTTCTCCTAGGGAGTGGCTATTGGGCTTGAACCACTGGCCTTGTGGTCTCCTACAGGGTAAGTCCAGTGCTTATGCTACAGACACACTGTGCTCCCTTTTGGACACTGCTGTTGTTAAGTGTGGAGTCTCTGACTCAGGGATCCTATATAGAGTTTCCAAGAAGTGGCTGCTTTGAACTACCAACCTTGAAGTTAGCAGTTAGAAGTGGCTAGTTTGAACTACCAACCTTGAAGTTAGCAGTCCTACCATGCCAACCTTCAATGTTGTTTGTTCAATTCCTCTCTTCCCTCTAACCCAGAAGTAGGGAACATCTGCAGGCCATATAAGGCCTGTGAAATCATTTGGTTTGGCCCTGCCAAGGCATCCGCAGTTCAAACCATCATATTGTTGTTGTTGCTAAGTGCCATTGAGTTGGTTCCAACTCATTGCAACCCTGTATAGGGCTTCCAAGGGTCATCGGGTGAGTTTGAACCGCCAACCTTGTGGTTCAAATGGAACTTGTGGTCCAGTGCTTTGTGTCACACCAACCATCATGCTGTTAACGGCTTTCGAATCAGTTCTGACTCCTAGTGACCCTGTATAGGATTTTCAAGGAGCAGCTGATGAATATGAATTGCTGACCTTGCAGTTCAAACCGACCTTGTGGTCCAGCACATTGTCCCACAAGGCCACATCATCACATTAGGGATGAGTTAAGTAAACGTTTGACCAAATATAACAGTCGAATTTTTTTTTTAAGTTTTTATTGTGAATAGAGTGATAGTTTACATGGGCGAACATCAGTTTTACACTCATCATTTCATTGCAAAGATTACAATCTCCTCCATGCAACATCATTCAACAGTATTTTTGCTTCTATTCCCACTGTTGTTTTGGTTTTGGGGAGGTGTACACAAAAACACTCAGGAATATATAATCATTTAAACAACCAAAGGGCACATTCTGAAAGAGCAGGCTAATTTTTAAATTGGTAATTTTGTATGGCTCGTGAATGAAGTTTTAAATTTTGACAGATAAAAAAAGGTTTCCCACCCCTGTTCTAAACCAATCAGAAGGAAAACTACACACACACACACACACACACACACACACACTCTCCAGCTCCAAGGTAACTCCTGATTGGTTCAAGCCAGTGGTCCTCTAGGAGCATGCACATATATTGAACAGAAAGGGGGTTGTTTTTTGGCTACACAGTACCTGGAGTGTGCTACTTGTATTTAGTGAGAAAGGACCAGAGATGCTAAATACCCAGCATACGAAATGCCAAAAGCTAGATAAATACTAAATAATCATGTTAGTCCCATGCCCCCTTGTCAGTTACTGCTTCAGGGATAAGCTGACTCATTTCTGGGCAATAGATATAAGGAGGACCTCTAGGGTGTTTCCCTCCAGCCTGCCAATGTTGTTCCACTTGTATGTGATATGTTTAACTGCTTTTCCCCAAAAGCAGTTTTTCCACAATCTTCCTTTTTCCATTGTTGACACCTACACTTTCTGTCAAGCCCTAAAGCAATTTTGACTTATCCTTAGGGTGACCATTCAGATTTACCTAAAACAATTATTTCACTACTGTTCATTCAGTGTAATTAATACTGCCCCATTTCACTTGTAAAAGTGTCCCTGATGAAAGGATATGGTCATCCTACTTACCAATAAAGTCCTGTTCACTCTGCCTCAAGAAACTACCTGTAATATAGGAGTCATCAAAAATAGTCTTCAGTCTGTTGCTGTACCTCCCCAGAGCTAAGAATAGTTTTCACATTTTTAAATTGCTGACAAAATTAAAATAACTTCATACCTTAAATTCCTGCAATTTCAAATTTCAGTGTTCACTAATAGTTTTACTGGAACACTGCCATGTTTATTCATTTAAGTATTTGAGTCAGAATTGACTGGATGGCACTTAACAACAAGAAAGTAAACTATTTCCAGGTAATCCGCCCAAGAAAATACTATAGATCACAGTGGTACAATCCCATTGTGTATCTAGGGTCACTGTGATTCTGGCCAACTGAAGGGCAACTAACACGGTTGCTTTCATAGTACAACAGCGTTGCTGATGAAGACCTTGGCTCACTAAGTCTAAAATTCTATTGGGCCCTTAAGAGAATAAAATTGCAGACCTCTGCCCTAATTCCACAACTAGTCTGAGTCTCTTCACTCCGCATACTAACACAACAGCATGCAAACGAATTTCCAGTGCTTTCCCTTTCAATCCTTTACACCAACGCTCTATCCTAATTCTTCATACGCCTAGTTGCTAGATGATCTCTTGGAAAGTTTTGTTTCTGTCACCCTTCAGTGGCTCCTCCAAAACAGGCTGAATTACCTAGTTTTTTAATTTGAATTATCTATCTAGTTTTCCAGATTTTGCTCCCTCCTCTTCACTACTTAAAAGCCCAATGGGACAGTTATTTGTTCTTTTCCTCATAAACCGTCTTTAATTCACACTGTGGCGCTGTAGGATAAGCACTGGACCGATAACCGCAAGGTCGGCGGTTCAAACCCACCAGCTCTCCTTGGAAACCCTGGAGCTCTGATAGCGTAGTGATTACAAATGGGGCTGCTAATCTCACCGTCAGCAGTTCGAAACTACCAGCTATTCCGTGGGAGAAAGATGAGGCTTTCTGCTTCCGTAAAGATTTACAGCCTCGGAAACCCTGTAGAAGGTCACTATGAGTGGGAACCGACTCGACGGCACACGAGTAGGAATCGACTCCAGGGCACTCATTCATGCCAAGCTTGTACATGCCTCTTCTCCATCCCATTGATTACGCAGGATTCAAGGAAAACGCTCACTTTCCTGATACCGATACCGTTCCGCGACATAACAGGTACAAACATAGACAGGTGAGAGAGTTCACGCACATCAAACTAGTTGGCTCCGTTTAGAGGGAGTGCTCATGAATGCTAAAAAAAAGTTTTAGATTATGACATGTGGGTCGGAATTTGAAGGACGCAAGAGGTTAAAGGGCGTCTCAAATAAAACTAAAGTTGTAACCTATCCACTTTCCCACCGCCGCTGGGATTTTGATTCAAGAACCCCAGTGTGGGCTCCAAACATTCTGCGTGCCAAGAAGTATCCACCTAGTCGCCAAAGGTTCTGGGAGAGAACCTTTGGTTTGCACGCCCACGTTTCTTGCTTCCAGACAAAGACGCCCTTCATCAAGACTGTGACCACAGCTAAAACACTGTCGACCACCGTCGGCTGCGACCTTCCACGCCCTGGGAAAGACGCCCCCCGCCTCCCCGGGCCTCCGGTCCCAGGGACCGCCTCAGCGCACGTGAACCTCCCGGCCGAGCGAGGGCAGTTGCGGGAGCGCTCACAAGCGAATTTAGGCCTGAGAAGGGAAGCGATTCTGGAGCGCACGCGCACAGCGAGAAGACTGGGCGGAGCGTGCCTCCCGGAGGAGTTCCGAATGAGAGAGCGCGTGGCGCTCCGGAACTCGCGCACGCGCTGTAGCCTCGTCTATTTCGCACGCGCGCGCGCGCGCGCGCGCGCGCGCACGGCTGTTCAGCATCTTTTCTTCAGGCCCGCCCCGCGGATTCCACTTCTCCAAGCAAAGGCAAAGAGCGGGAGCAGGGAAGTGTGGGGCGAGATGGGCGGAGCGTAGCACGCGAGAGCGGCCAGCAAAAGAAGGGAGGTGGTCGGAGAGATCCGTGACAACGTTACCCCGTCAACACCCAATCGGATGCTGGCTGGACCCCGCCTCCTCCCCTTACGTTATTGGCTGGGAGGCCCCCAAGGGGGCGTGGCCACCCATGGAGTTGGGGAGGGCAGGGGGCGGGGAAGAGGAGGACGGCGCTGGCGGGCAGTGATGGCGGCGGGTGATGGGGACGTGAAGCTAAGCACCCTGGGGAGTGGCAGCGAGAGCGGCAGCGACGGCAGCAGCGAGAGCCCAGGCGGCGCGGGAGCCGAAGGGGGCGGCTGGGCGGCGGCGGCGTTGGCGCTACTGACGGGGGGCGGGGAGATGCTGCTGAACGTGGTGCTGGTGACGCTGGTGCTGCTGGGGGCCTACCGGCTGTGGGTGCGCTGGGGGCGACGGGGTCTAGGCGCCGGGGCTGGAGCAGGCGAGGAGAGTCCCGCCACCTCTCTGCCTCGTATGAAGAAGCGGGACTTCAGCTTGGAACAGCTGCGCCAGTACGACGGGTCCCTCAACCCGCGCATCCTGCTCGCCGTCAATGGGAAAGTCTTCGACGTGACCAAAGGCAGCAAGTTCTACGGCCCCGGTGAGGAGCAGTAAAGGGAGGGGAGGTCCCCCACAGTTCAACCACGACCCCCTTCTGACGGGATGGCCCCTAGGTACTGGGTTACTTTGTCCAGCCTTCTCGTCGTCTTGACTGCCGTACCTGAGACGGCCCGCCCCACACACACCCCCAGGCACCGGCGCCCAGGACTCAGCCCGATTCTCCTCCGGCCTTTTCTTGTGCTGAATTTTTCAAAATCTTTACACAGTCGCTAGTCACTGTAGCTCTCGATCTTTCCTGAGTTTTCTGGTTCTTGGGCTGGGTGGGGGCCAGAATGAGGGGATTTCTAAAGTAAAGACTAAAAGTTCTAGGCCTTGTCGTTTACAGCTTGCTTTTCTTCACCCTTTTTTTTTTTTTGCTCTGATCTTCCCTTTCCTCCTCCTACTCCCCCTAAAGCCACGTTTAGGAACACACAGTTCCAGGTCCCAACCTGTGAAGTCTGTTCACGTAGGACTCATTTTGGGGGAGAAACAACAACTGTTTTAGCCCGTAGATGTTTCCCAAGATTAACCGTGCACGTGGGCTGAGGACAGACCCGAACGCAGAGCTTAAAGCCTGGCAAAGGTATTTGTCCTGTTTAAAGGGTGGCTGGCGCTCGTGTACCCAGAAGGGGTGCCTGTCCAGATACTTTCCGCTGTCCACCATCACCGCCTTTTTTTTATTTGTAATTGAAAGACAAGCATCCAGATACACCTTGATATGACTTACTGTGTTTTCACTTAGCAGAAATTGAGAAAAAAACTTAGAGGAGCTATAAATGAATACCCATGCACCAGTTTCGCAAATTAGGGATTTTTAGAACTTTGCTTTCAGAGAGAATTTATTATGTGGGGTAGTTGGTTTAGAAGCCCTTTTACAATGTGCTGTGGCGTGCATTTCAGATTGTCCTAATTAACTTCCGTTCAAACTCATGGAACCTGTTGGTATACTATAAAATTGAGTAACATCCTACATTCTTCATATGTAGTAATTAATACTAAACTTTAAAAACAAAAAGTAACTGCATAAGGAGAAATGATATATTGGGGATCTAATGTGACCTGTTATTTCAGAGTATACCAAGTCTTAAATTGAAGGAGGTTGACAGTCTAATATCAAGGTAGTGCCCTCCTGTTAATACATGGCATTATTGACATCTGCAGATAAACCTATTTCTGGTTTCAGTTCTTTGGTTTGCTTGTCAATTGGAGATTTTTAGTGTTGAGCTATTTAATTTATTTCTAAGTTGTTTCTATTTCTATGTGTATATCTACATTCTCCAACCAAGTCATAATTTTTAAGGCACTTCTGGTTATATAAATATGAACACCAGATGTCTTCCTATATATATCAAATCAAATGGTTAATACTTTTTTGTTGACTGAAGAGAATGTGGGACAAGAGAATGTGGCCAAAGTACAGTCACACCAAATTAAATAGTTAATTTTATGAAAATCAAGGACTTACATAGTATTTTGTATAGATCAGAATTACCATTTTAATAGACATTTAATACTGCTCATTTGCTATAAAATTTTACAAAAGGACATGCTTCCTAAAGATTTTTTCCTTGGTATTAAAATGTACATTCAGTAGTTAGAAATTGTTGCAGGTTTAAATTTTTATAGAGTTTACCCAACTAAAACATCTGCTTAAACTGATGATGAAGCATGCAGTCAAAACATATTAGTCTTCACTATATGTATATTAGACCTTGCCACTGTCTGAAAATAGCTATAAGAGACAACCATGGACACAGTTTGGCAGCCTCTGGTGGCAGATGTTCTGTGACAAATTAAAAATTAAGAGTCATGGGTATAATATGTGGCTTATAACATGTGGTATAATAAGGGGTCTCCTTGCAGAAGTTAGTTTTAGGTTAGCTTCCACCAGTTCACATATTCTGATCTACAGCCTCCAAGTGATACTCAATTGTAGTTATAGGTATTGATCACCAACCTAATAGTGATAATTCTGTTGCTTGAAGTACCATTGTGTCAGTTCTGACTCATACCAACCCTATATAGGGATTCCAAACGGCAGCTGGTGAGTGTGAACTGACTACCTTGCAGTTCGGACCAACCTTGCAGTCCAGTGCTTTATCCTACATACCAGACTCCAATAGAGATGTTGTTGTTGTTAAGTGCCGTCGAGTCGGTTCCGACCCATAGCGACCCTGTACAGGGTTTCCGAGGCTGTAAATCTTTACGGGAGTAGAAAGCCTCATCTTTCTCCCGCAGAGCAGCTGGTAGTTTCGAACCACTGACTTTGCGGTTCACAGCCCAATTCGTAACCACTACGCTACCAGAGCTCCTTAATAGAGATATTAGGAGTATTTTATTATTGAAATTAACCTTAAATATAGCCAAAGCATCTTAATGGGCTTTAAATATGTTGCAATTGCACATGAATATAGGATATAGTACCACTCTCCAAAAAGTCTGAAAGCCAAATTTTTGTCTGTAAAACAAATTTAGTTTTGATTTTTATTTTCATCCTCAAATAAGTTAAGTAATTTAGTAGCAGAAAAAAATTGAGAAGCAGTATCCTTATCTGAGAACTTTAGTAGCTTTAAAGAATAAGGGAGCAGAAAACTTAAGTTTCTATGCTTAGCCAATATCTGCTTTCATTTCTCACTAATTGTTTTAGGATTAAAGATTATTTTGTGGGATTTTTTACATAATGTTGAAGAAATTGTTGTTTTTAGTCATACATTTGTAAAAGCTGAGGTTCTTAGGAAATTAAATACTCACTATTTAATTAAGTGGAATAAACACACATTGGCAAACAGTTGACATTAACTGCATTTGTCAATATTAAATTTAGTAACAGTTCAGAAACTTGGACAGCATGTGAGGAAAGTGGTCACATAATAAAAAATGGCTATGAGAGGAGGAAGGAAACCAAATTTTGCTAAGCAGTTATTATACTGGATTCATTTATTTGTCATTTCCATGATGCTCCAGTGAGGGTGGTAAGTATTCCTGTCCTTTTGCTGCTGTTATATATCTTTGGGTCGGTTCTGACTCATAGCAACTCTGTATAAGGGTTTCCGATGAGCATTGAGCTGGTGAATTTGAACTCCCAACATTGCAGTTCAAACAGACCTTGTGGTCCAGTGCTTATCCTACAGCATCACACAGGGACTGTATAGTTAAGTACCATCAAGTCAGTTCCAACTTACAGTGATCCTGTATAGGGTTTTTGAGGAGCAGCTGCTCAGCTTGAACTGTGGTTCAAACTGATCTTGCAGTCCAGCACATTAACCCTCAATGCCACACTGGGAATATGTTGTTGTTGTTGTTGTTGTTGTTATTGGTAATAAATGCTGTCAAGTTGGTTTCAACCCATAGCAACCCTGTATAGGGTTTCCAATTAGCAACTGGTGAGCTTGAACTACCGACCTTGCAGTTTCAAACGGTTTTGCAGTCTGACGCATTAGCCCACAATGCCACACCAGGACTGCACACTAGGAATATAGACAGCTGTAAAACCCATTGCTGTTGGGCCAATTCCGACTCATAGTGACCCTGTAAAACAGAATAGAACTACCCCACAGGGTTTCCAAAGCTGTAAATCTTGAAAGCATGCTGCCACATCATTTTCCCTCAGAGTGGCTGATAGATTCAATTGCCAACCTTTTGGTTAGCAGCCAAGCTACCAGGGTTCCTTTTCCTACAGATAGAAAGTTTAAGGTTTCAGTATTTTAGGTAAATTGACTTGAGGATCACAAATGTGGTGTTCAAATCCAGATATATTGTTGTTGTTATGTGCTGTCGAGTTGGTTCCGACCCATAATGACCCTGAACAGGGTTTCCAAGGCTGTAAATCTTTATGGGAGCAGAAAGCCTCATCGTTCTACTGCGGAGCAGCTGGTAGTTTCGAACTGCTGACCTTGCAGTTTGCAGCCCGATTCATAAGTAACCACTACACTACCAGAACTCCTTAAATCCAGATGTTGTTATGTGCCGTGCATTCGGTTCTGACTCATAGCGACCCTGTACAGGGTTTCCGAGGCTGTAAATCCAGATATAGTTAACCACAAAATCTCTCTCTACTATAGCTAGTAAACTGCATTCTGGGATAAACTTGTAGAGAATCCTGCTCTTGTTTTTCTTTGTACTCTTTATCTTCCCGTAATGATTTAACATCTCAAAGAAACATGCTTTTATGACTTTGTGCTTCCCTCTGTGGTAGACACAGCCACACGTGACTGTTTAAATTTAAGTTAGTTAAAATTAGAAATTGAATTCTTCCCTCTAAGTAGTTAATTTTTCATGGACAGCCTGCTGAGCAATGTTCATCTCAGAATATTTCCATCATCCCAGAGAGTTGTTGGATTGCATTAATTCTAGAGTTCAGAGTAGAAGAAGAAGGGAACTATAGTTATTAAATTTATTATTTCATTTCGTTTTCATTACTACCCTATAAGATAGGTAATGTACCCATTGTATGGATGTGGAAACTAAAGTTTTGTCAAAGTCACTTATCTAGTAAGGAGCAAAACTAGAATTCAAAACCAGATCTAACTCATTGAACAGACTACTCCTTCCAACTGTATTACAACATAAAATGTTTACAGACTATAGATTTGAAGTCTTACACAAGCATTTTAAATGATTGGAACACTATCAAAACAATGTTTTCATTTATATGTTTATAATAGGAGTCCTGGTGTGGCACTGTGGGTTAATGTGCCAGACTGCAAAGCCTTTTGAACTTCAAGGTCGACGGTTCAAGCTCACCAGCCTCTCCTTGGAAACCCTATAGAGGTCACTGTGGGTCGGAATCGACTCAGTGGCACTTAACAACAACAAACAGCAAGAAATTATGCAACTGACCTAATGTTGTTGTTTTTAAGTGCCATTGAATCGATTCCGACCCATAGCGACCCTGTATAGGGTATCCAAGGAGCCGCTGGTGAGCTTGAACCACCAACCTTGCAGTTCAAACAGCTTTGCAGTGTGATGCATTAGCCCACAGCGCCACACCAGGACTTCAAT